AATTTTGATGTACATAATTGTTTCTTAATTTGATAGTGTCTAATTGTGAACTGAGATTGTTCCTGGCTGTGCCCTTGACGGGGGTTAAAGTACTGTAAAATTATTGTCCCCCTGAGAGGGCATAGTAAGTCCATATCATTCGAAGTCTGTTATTCCTATCATAGTTTTAATCGTAGAATATATGTTCTTTTAAATACAGCTGAATTCCCTAATCGTCGCCAACAACTGAAGGGATGATGTAAATCCTGCTGGGATCCATGCAGGTAGCAAAGGTACTGTAAGTCCCCATGGTCCCCAGTATGGTGATCTACCTTCAGTTGCTGGCGATCTTTAGCCCATTTTATAATGTATTGTCCTGTCTAGTGATGTATTTTTATGGTTCTCTGCTAGTTTTAAATAATAATCTGTGATAAGTCTAGTTATTTTACTGTCCCTTGTCGACAGGTTTTTATGGTTTACATGTATTTATTATATATAACTTTTGAAAGTCACGATATGGCTGAAATATTGCCGATGTGACTTAAAATCTTAACTCACTCACTCACTCGATCTCTTGAAAGTTGTTTCCAATTCAAAGTGGGGAGGGGATCAAACAACCCTCTTACACTTATACAGGTCACTGATCCGTTCAAAACTTGATTATGGCTCCATCGTCTATGGTGGAGCCTGCAAAGGTAATTTACAAAAACTAGATACGATACATCATCAGGGTCTGAGGCTTTGCCTTGGAGCCTTCAGAACGTCTCCCATTCACAGTCTCTATATAGAAGCAGATGAGCCTTCTCTTAAACAACGCCGACTAAAATTATCTCTACAATACATCACTAAATTATATTCTAATCAGTCCAATCCAGCTTTTGAATGTATATTCCATCCTCTCTACGAAGATCTTTACAATAAGAAATCAGCACTCAATCCACCACTCGGAATTAGAATAAAATCTGCAATATCAGCTTCAAATATTAAACTCCAAGATATAGCTCCTACTCAACTTTTCTCCTCTCCTCCTTGGCAAATGGTAAAGCCAGAGGTAGACCTGACATTAACCAAACTTAAGAAATCAGATACTAACCAATTAATATACCAACAAGAATACCATCAACTTAGAAACAATTTTGACACTTATAAATCTATATTTACCGATGGATCCAAGGATGGTGGCACAGTTGCTAGTGCCACTGTCATTGGATCCAGAACAATATCTTCACGTTTACCTGATAACAGTTCAATATTCACTGCAGAAGCAAACGCCATTTTTACAGCACTTAAATATATCAGTAATCAATCTAAACATAAACAATTTATACTGTTTTCAGATTCTCTTTCATGCCTTCAGGCAATTAAAAATATGTCTTCAAAACATCCACTTTTAATCCAAATTCTTGAGTTATTTAATGATCTTGCTACTGGCCAATATGACATCGTCTTTTGTTGGTTACCAAGCCATGTTGGTATCATTGGTAACACAATGGCCGATGCTGCTGCAAAAGCAGCACTCAACAAATCTGTGACACCACTTCTGATCCCATACACTGATTTTAAACCCATGATTCGATCTTACATCCGAGATCTTATGCAACAGAAGTGGGACGCCGAAGTAGGTATCAATAAATTAAATGAAATTAAACCAAATATCGGTTACACCTACTTGGGCTGTCAGTCCAGATTTGAAGAGGTCATTATGCGACGATGTCGTATTGGCCATTCAAGATATACACATGAGTATCTTTTAAATGGTGAGGATCCTCCGTTTTGCATCCCTTGTCAAGCAAGACTGAATGAGGGACATAGTGCAGAATATATATAGCAAGTGGAGGATTAACAGTAGAGGATTAACAGTAACAACAAGGGCATACATGAGTGGGATAACATAGGTAGGTATGACAACAAGGATGATGCTATCACAACACGATGGACAGAAAACACATAGCTAGAAGCCAATGGGGCATGAAGCCAATAAACAGGTGATTATTGTTTGATGAGTTCATAGTAGGCGGATGGGATGAAATAGCCTTGATCTCTGTTGATTGTTGGGTTGTGGCGGCGAATGTGGACAGCTTCTGTTAGTTTTCTTTTGGTGAAATCATGGAGGTTGTTGGCGAGGATTTGGACGTTGTCCCAGTTGATGATGTGATTGGGACAGTTGATGATATGGTCCGAGATGGCTGATTTGCTGTCGGATTTGATGGTGGAGGTTTTATGCTCTTTGATTCTAGTGTTGATTGGCAGTAAGAATTCATCGTCTGTCAATTATGATCCTAACTTTCAAAGATATCAAAATCAGCAGGAAAAGAAGATTCTTAATTTCAAATCCGATAATTCTGAAGATTATAATGAATCTTTTTCCTTAAGTGAACTGCAAGAGGCTCTACATAAAGCTCATGATACAGCATGTGGGCCAGATGATATCCATTATCAATTTTTGAAACATCTACCTGTGTCGTCTCAGTTGACCCTCTTGTACATTTTCAATAATATTTGGGAATCGGGTAATTTTCCGTCTTCTTGGCATGAGGCTACTATCATTCCCGTGCCCAAACCAGGGAAGGATCACGCGAATCCTTCTAATTACCGTCCAATAGCTTTAACAAGTTGCATCTGTAAAACCATGGAACGAATGATCAACAAGCGTCTTGTCTGGTATTTGGAATCTAATAACCTGTTAACTGATATTCAGTCTGGTTTCAGGCACCAGAGGAGCACCATTGATCATTTAGTTAGATTAGAGTCATTTATACGCAATGGTTTTATTAATAAACAACATGTTGTATCAATCTTTTTTGATTTGGAGAAGGCATACGATACAACATGGAAATATGGCATCTTAAAAGATCTGCATATTATGGGTCTTCGTGGTCGTATGCCTGATTTTATTGCACGTTTTTTAGAAGATAGACAATTTAAAGTTCGAGTGGGATCCGCATTATCTGAGATATATGATCAAGAAATGGGGGTCCCTCAGGGCAGTATTTCATCAGTGACACTTTTTAGCATAAAAATTAATAGCCTTGCAAAGGTTTTAAATGAAAATATTGATGGTTCGTTATTTGTTGATGATTTCAATGTATCTTGCCGTGGTAGAAATATGAATACCATTGAAAGGCAATTACAACTTTGCCTAAATAGAATACAAAAATGGTCTCTAGAAAATGGTTTTAAGTTCTCTAAAACTAAAACCTGTTGTATTCATTTTTGCACTAAAAGGAAATTACATAAAGATCCAGAATTGACTTTGAATAATATTCCTATAAAAGTGGTCAAAGAAACCAAGTTTTTGGGTCTTACCTTTGATCATAAGTTATCGTTTATACCTCATATAAAAGATCTAAAGGCTAAATGTTTGAAAGCACTTGATATCCTTAAGGTGGTATCAAATGCAAAATGGGGCGGAGACCAACAAACTCTGTTACATCTCTATAGAACATTGATTCGATCTAAACTAGATTATGGTTGTTTCATATATGGCTCAGCCCGACAATCATACATTAAAGAACTTAACACTATTCACCATCAAGGTCTTAGATTGTGTCTGGGTGCATTTCGAACTTCCCCTGTTGAAAGTTTATATGTTGAAGCTAACGAACCTTGTCTCGATATCAGAAGAATAAAACTGTCACTCCAATACGTTACTAAACTTCATTCCAATCCATCCAATCCAGCTTTTAATATCGTTTTTCATCCTCCTTATCAGCCTTTGTATGATAAGAAACCCAGCTCAATTCCTCCACTTGGTATCCGTATTCAACAGCACATTATAGATGCAGATCTAAACATGTCTTCTATTGCAACGTATAAACTACCTGAAGTGCCACCGTGGCAGTCAATACAGCCTACAGTCAATTTTGAGTTAACAAACATGAAAAAGGCAGATACGAACTCGTTGTCATACCAACAAGCCTTCCTAGAACTTAGACATCAATATACAGGGTATACAAGCATATACACAGACGGATCCAAAAATGGTGATAAGGTGTCAGCTGCAGCTGTTACAAATGATGGCACTCTATCGTTACGATTAACCGATGGAAGTTCAATTTTTACGGCAGAGGCTAAGGCTATACTATTAGCCTTGCAGCTTATTAATCGTTCAAATGAGTCCAGCTTTATTATTTTTTCTGATAGTTTATCCTGTTTACAAGCAATCAACAACCGTAAAACTGACCATCCTCTTTTAGTTGAAATATTGCAATGTCACATAAATTTGTCCGTGGCAAATAATGACATCGTATTTTGTTGGCTCCCCAGTCATGTTGGCATCAGTGGAAATACCAAAGCAGATTCTGCAGCTAAAGCTGCTCTTGGGAAATCGTTCTCGACGGGTATTTTCCCGTACACAGACCTAAAACCTGCTATATGCCAATATGTTGGAAGTATGTGGCAACAAAACTGGAATAAACTAACATTGAATAAGCTTCATGCCATCCAGCCCTTGATTGGAAATCATGGCCCTACTGGATTAAGTCGCCAAGATGAAGTTGTTATCAGACGATGTCGCATTGGACACAGTCATTTGACTCATTCTTTTTTATTAAAGGGAGAGGACCCTCCTCAATGTATTCCTTGCAATAGTCCTTTGACTATCAAGCACCTTTTGTTGGAATGTGTGGATTTTGCACTTATTCGGCAACGATTTTATACTGTTCAAACTGTTTCTGAACTTTTCAATACCATTTCTAACCACTTAGTTTTAGCATATTTGAAAGAAATTAAACTGTATGACAAGATGTAGATTTTAGATTTGACTGTCAGTTTTTAACTGTTTACTGTGATATCGGACTGAAGTTTTAGTGATCTTCGACATCATTTTTAAATAATGTTGTCTGAAAGTAATTTTGTTTTTCTAGCCGCGAATAGCTGGAATATTGCTGATGCGGCTTAAAGCACCACTTACTCACTCACTGACTCACTAGTGTTGATTGGGCGGGAGGTTTCACCTACGTAAGATTGCCCGCAGTTGCAGTCAACTTTGTAGACTACACCTTTAACCTCTTGGGGTTTAGATGTGTTCCTGCCGTTGGCTCTTAGCAGGGTGTTGAGGGAGTTGGAGCTGGTGAAGTTGGTGTCGATGTTGGCTTGCTGTTTGAGGAGGCGGCTGATGATGTGGGAGGCTTTTCCCTATGAACGGGAGGGCGATGCGGAAGGGCGCTGATTCGGGTTTAGGGGCCGCATGTCTGGGTGTGGGATAGAGTACAGAGGCGATGACTTTGTCGACTAGTTTGGCCGGATAATTGTTGAGGTGGGTGAAGACTTGGCGGAGGTGTGCGATCTCAGGTTTGGGGTCAGCAGAGGAAAGGTTGATGGCACGTTTGGTAAGGGTGGAGATGATGCCAGTCTTGGTTCTGAGAGGGTGGTTAGAGTTGAAGTGGATATACTGGTCGGTGTGGGTGGGCTTCCGGTAGACACTGGTTTGGATTCTGTTAGCTGAGTTTCTACAAACGAGGACATCTAGGAAGGGTAGTTGGTTGTCCTTTTCTGTTTCGATGGGGGTGTTGTTGGTTAAGATGTTGTAGTAGCAGGGTTGGTCCTCTACTGTTAATCCTCCACTTGCTATATATATTCTGCACTATGTCCCTCATTCAGTCTTGCTTGACAACGGTATAAGGATCTATACCGAAACGTCGCTTTTTACAGTATTAAAGAAGTTGTTATCCATAAAATTGTGTCTATCTTGTCATCTTTTACTTAATAGAAATTCATAGCAAAATTTTAACTTCTAGTGAACAATTCATACATTTTTTCCAAAAGACAAATGAAACTCAGAAAGTGATAGGGGATTCTGTAATCCAAGGAATTAAATTGCTGTAGCCTTATACAGTCAAGTCCAGTTAATCCGACATTGTTGGTGGCATATGATCGAAAATTGGACAACTACACGATAGATAACGATTCAAACATGTTGTAATAAAAAAGGAAATATTCCTATTGTTGTTGTTGTGAATTGAAACAGTTTTTTTGTATTTCAAGGCTGTTTTACCAAGTTTGAATTTACCGGGTTTGGGTTTGTGCCAGACTTTTCACCAAGTTTCAATTTCTCGGTTTTGGTTTGTGCTGTTTAGGATTTTGGCCACTATTTTGGAAACCACGTTTTGTTTGGAAGTTGATAGCTGCGGTTATCGACAAACTTTGACTTTTGTGGGGATTTGAGGCACCAAAATGTTGTGAGTATGAACGGAGAATACTTTGTTTGTAGCCAATACATAATATTCTGCGGTTTACATGTTGTAAAAAGGTAAATTTTGTATATTTTATCGGCGAAAGATCTGTATCGTAAGTGCTTAAAATCCGGAAAATCCCACAATAATATCTATTCTATGTAAACAATGCTGTCTGTATTATGGTGTAACAATATGGTATTTTCATGCTATTTTCACATTTATGTATTATTTCTTTTGTAGATTAATTTAATTTGGTTTGAATTTTATACTTATTAGGCTTTGTTTATTTTATTACAGCTTGTACGTACCAGTCAATGTACCAGTTTCAGTCATTCAGTCAAAGTCAACTTTGTAAACCAGTGAACATTATGACAATCGGTCTGTCAGTCAAGTTTGTACAGTCAAGACAGTCGGTCAACCACAATATGTTGTCAAGGTTGAATTGGTCAACCAAACTGTCTGAATGATGATTTGGAGTAATGTGAAAATTGTGACATTTGTCCTGTCTGCAGTCAGTCGGAATATTGTGACATGGCTTGAAAAATGTGTTTAACAGCTGCGGTTGTTGAATAAATGACTGCGTACAGAAATATTGCCTTAAATTTCATTCCCTACAACAGTTGTGTTACATTGTTCGCGGAATATGTTTTCTAATCATGCAACCTCTAAAGTTTAACACAAAACACAAAGTTTACTTACTTACTTACTTTGGAGATTTAACGTGCGCTTTCCGACTGATGCGTATTTCGCACACGGGCCCGGCCAGGCCATTTAATGTGTTTCCGAAAGGGGCGAAAGTGGTCTGTGCAACCCAAGAGGGGGGGTTTAGGGGTTGCTTATATAGAATTTGGGAATTTTGAGATTTGGAATAGATGCCGATGGGATTGGGGAGGAGAACTAAGGGAGCTGGGTATGGTGGATGTTTGTTTGTTTATGTGATTTTGATTTGGTAGGTTATTGTGTTTTTAGATGCGTTTTATTAGTTCCGTTTTTATTAAGAATACGCCTAAAGCCTTGAAGTTTTCTAGTTTATTTTGTGGGTTTAGTATTGCTTCTAGAGTTAGAGCCTTGTTTAGATTGAGGGTGGTTTGTAATGCGGTTCGATGTGTTAGGTAGTGTGTGCAGTAGATGAGTGCGTGTTCTGGGGTTTCTGGTTGTTTGCAGTGTGGGCAGTTACCTGTAGTGTGTTTTTTAAAAATTTTTAGGTGGTTATTTAGGCTGGTGTGTCCTGTTTGGAGTTTAGTGATTACTCTGTCGATTTTTTTGGATGGATGGAGAATTTTTGGTTTGGTTAGTGGTTTGCTGAGCACTTTTTTGATTTGGCTATTTGAGTTTAGATATAGGTTATACCATTTTTTTGTGATTTTTTGCTTGTTTACACTTTTAATTTCTGATTTTGAGATGGGTAAGTTTAAGCTTATTTCTGGGATTTTGAGGGATAGTTTAGCTGCTTTATCGGCGTTTTCATTACCGTATATTCCTACGTGGGCGGGTATCCACAAGAAGGTTATTTGTTTGCCTGCCTTAGTTAGGTCGTTGGAGCTTTTAAGTATTTGATTTATTAATTTAGGTCGGTTTTTGGTATTTTTGTTTTGGAGGGCTTGCAGTCCACTTAGGGAGTCGGTAAGTATTAGGATTTTTTTGTGTTTTTTGGATTCTTGATTATGGAGGGCTGAGGCCATGCCCATTAGTTCTGCCGTGAATATTGATTGGTTGTTTGGGAGTCGGAAGGATTGTGTGGTTTTAGTTGGTTGTGTGGTATGGACTCCGAAACCTGTGTGTTTGGAGGTCGGATCTGAGGATCCGTCCGTGTAAATGTGACACCAATTTGGCCAATTTTCGTGTATGTATGCTAGTGTGGTAGTTTTAGCTATGTTTGGGTAGGTTTGTTTATTTATTTGGCTAGCTAGTGTTGTGTCTATTTTGGGTATTTTAAGTTTAGGGGTGAAGATATTTGATTGTTTGCAGTTTTGTTTAAGATTTTTAATTTGGTGTTCATTTAGGTAGTTTGTTATTCTTTGGGATATTGGGGTAAGTAAGGGGTGTTTACGAGCTAGAGCTTGGTTTTTGGGGCTGATGTTTTGGTTTATTAAGTTTTCGATGAGAGGGTTTGATTGGGACGCGGCCCAGAAATTTAAGCTTAGCTGTTCCCTGCGTAGACTTAGTAGCATTTCTCCTGTTAAGGCCTGAAGTGAGGTGTAGGAGGTGCCATGTTGGGTGCGTGTAATTAGTTTGAGAGCCTGATATTGTATTGAGTCAAGTTTTTTAGATAGAGAGTTGTTTAGGGTGTTGTATATGGCGCAGCCGTAGTCTAGTTTTGATCTAATTAGTGATATGTAGAGAGAGAGGAGGGTATCTTTGGATGCTCCCCAGTTAGAGCCAGTTAGGCATCTTAGGGTGTTTAGGTCTTTACTGCATTTAGTTGTTAGGTTTTGGATGTGAGCATCCCAGGTGAGATGTTCATCGAAAATAAGTCCTAAGAATTTGGTTTGTTTTTGAAATTTAATTGTTTGATTGTTTAGCTGGAGGATTGGGGAGGCGGGTTTCATGTTTTTATGTTTGAATACTATTCCTGTTGTTTTTTCTGAGTTAAGGGAGAAGCCCCATTTGTCAGCCCATTGTTGTATTTTGTTAAGAGATTTTTGGAGTAAATTTTGGACCATGTTCATGCTTTTAGTGCGGATCCAGATGGCTCCATCATCTGCGAATTTTGATGTGTTTACTTTAGGGGATAGGCCCTCGAATAGATCGTTTATCATTATATTGAAGAGGGTGGGGCTGAGGATACTGCCCTGTGGAGTACCATTTTCTAGGGGACATTGGTCCGATAGAGTTTGGTCTATACCCACGGTTATTTTACGATTGTTTAGGAAGTCCTGGATGTAGTTTATTATCTGACCTTTGAGTCCTATTTTTTTAAGTTTTTGTATTAGCCCATCGTGCCATACCATGTCGAAAGCTTTAGAGAAGTCTAAAAAGATGCCTGTGGTATATTGTTTATTTAGTTGTCCTGTCTTAATATCTTGTTCTAGTCGGGCGAGGTTATCTAGGGTTGAGCGGCCAGGAGTGAAACCGCTTTGATCTGGGTTTATGATGTTATTTTGGGTTAAGTAATGTTGTAATCTATTTTTAGCCATTGATTCCATTACTTTACATAAGTTTGAAGTTAGGGATATTGGTCTATATGAGTTAGCTTGATTAGCTGGTTTATTAGGTTTAGGGATTGGTATGACTAGGGCCTGTTTCCAGGGAGTAGGAACCTGTCCGTTTAGGTAGATGAGATTGTATAGTTTGAGTAGTGCCTGGAGTAGTTTTAGGGGGAGTTTTTTAATTATTTGGTAAGAAGTTAGGTCTAATCCTGGGGCTGTGCCCTTTTTCCTGTTTTGGATTACGTAGAGGAGCTCCTCCATTGTGTAGGGTTGATTTATTTCTAGATTGTTATTGTTTGGTTCTTTTGTGGGTTTGTTTTCTGTTTTAAGTTTATCTTGGAATTTTTTACTGAAGTTGGTGTTACTGCTAACGGCCGAAAAGTGGTTGGCGAGATTATTTGCTTTTTGGGCGGGGTTGGTTGAGTTGTCAATGTTAGGTTTTTTTTATGTCGTTTTAAGCCTCTGATGGCGTGGATTTTGCGCCAGACCATTCTGGCATCTGTACGGTTATTTATACCTTCGGAGAATTTTTTCCAGTCTCTACTTTTGGCTATTTGGACTAGTTTTTGAACCTGGTGGTTTAGTTCGTGGGCTATGTTTAAATACTTGTAGTCGCGTTTTGCTTTATTGAAGGCTGATTTACGTTTTCGTCTAGTCTGTTCTATTTCCTCATTCCACCATGGTACCGTTGGTTTGCCTGTCTTAGATGTTTTGAAGGGGATGGAGGTTTTGGCTGCGTTTATTATATAGTCTGTTAGGTTTTTACAATAGGTTTCTGGATCATTATTTTCTATTTCGTTTAAGATAGCTTCGTTGCAGATATCTTGGAATTTGTCCCAGTTAGC